CCCCCCGGACCACAGCCTGGGGCCTCCCACAAAAGCCTGTATGGGTTGGAGTAGTTCAGCTTCTCCATGACCTTGTGGACAGTAGCTCCCACTTCTTGAGGATATGGGTCCCCACGGTTCACCACCTTCAACAAAGAAACAACAGACCTTTGTCCTCCAGTGAACACCTTTGGGCAAAGCCCACCCAGAGAGTGGGAAGGCGAGCACACTGTGTGGCATGGCTGTGCCCGGGACAGGCCGTATCAAGTGCCTGACTCATGCGAAACGGGGAAGAAAAATGGCATTCTTGCCCAGAAAAACACATGATGAAGATACCAGAACATCTCCTCCTCCCCACGACAACACACAAATTCTTCTATCATCATATAGCAGATGGTGACATGTCAGTAACAGCACTGCATTTTTCACAAATTATTTGAGAGCCATTTTGCTGCAGTTGCAGGTGTCTGACAGAGGATCTGGTAATTTATTGCAACCTTGCCAAGGTTTTACTTTCATTCCTTCAGGGAAAGCACTATTACTGCTCTCTGGAGCTGAGAAAATCCCACATTTTCCCCTCCACTCCATTCCAGGTTTGAGCTGGAATGAGGCCAGGAGAGCAGCTGTACTGAGCCTGACCTCACCCAGGTTAGCTCATGTGCCTCGGCCTCAGCGCCGCGTCAGGCTGACACCTGAGCTCACAAACTCACCTTTCCATTTCTCTTTTGTATTGGCCGGGCACTTCCACGGCTGTGGCCCTCGCCCAGGGGTGTGGAAGCCACACACCTTCCCCTTCAGCCCAGCCAGCCAACCGTGCTCTAACAATGACAGAAACAACCCAACACAACTCACAGACATGGGCAGCGAGTGAGCCGAGAAGAGGATGACGACATCTTTCCTTTTGTCAGGTGGAAACATGTTCAGCTCCTTCTGTATGTGGTCGGTGAAGCACTGTGCAGAAAGGAGAAGGGAGGACCTGAACCAGAAACCACCTGGCAAGGAGAAGGCACACAGAGGGCACAGGCAGTGCCCAAGAACAGTGCCACGTCCCTGGACAGCAGCACACTCCAGCAGCTTGTCACGGAACGTTGCGCAGTGTGGGCAGCCCCACCTCACCTTCCTTCAGCCATTTTATCTTCTGTTCGGCACAGCACAAGAATTACAAAACCTAACAAAGGCAAAAATGCCATTTTCTCTGAAAAGGAAGGAGCAAAAAGGTTTCCCTTAATAGCTCCTGACACAGCCAATGCTGTGCTGAAAATCACCTCTGCTGCCGGACTAGAGCCTGACAAACCCACGTGATCTGTACGTGAGCTGACCACAGGCCTGCTCTGAGCAAGAATCTGGACTAACGACCTCTAAATGTTCCTTCCAGCCAACACTGTTATGATAATACCACTACACTTTTAAAACAAGATGTGCACAGTGGTCACACGTTATCATGCCAAAAGATCAAGCATGGAATAAGCATCCTTCTCCTGTCATTTCATTCACAGTAGACAGGATACATTTCATTACGATAAGTAAAACGGACCCCCAAATTGAATCATCCCTGTTATGCTTCTCAAGTGTTTTTCTTTAAGAAAATCTATAAACACAGCCTAAATCAGCAAATGAGTTAATCTTCTTTTAGTACAATCTAGAGCTAAAAATCCTGTAAGCTTTGTTTGAAGTGAAGACTTGATCTATGGGAAGTGCTTCCTCAGAATGTTTCTGTTGCTTAACATTATAATGTGTCTTTAATAGTAGCAAATATTTCTAAAAAGGAATCTCAATAAATGTCTGCATTTTCTCAGCTCTTTCTTGTTTTAAAGCCAGCTGGCACTGCAAAGATAGCGAGTTTCTCCCACATCAACCAGTCTAGGAAGACCCCAGGGAACACCAGTTGGGTAACTGAGCTGCCCAGCTCGCCCCTCCCATGCTGACTGCCAACTTCACAGGCTCTCCTACGGATCCAGACCTGGATAAGGAGGGGATGTGTGGGCCATCGGTCAATTATACTCCACTTCATCTTTGGCTTCTCCCCTTTTTTATCGTAGTAGCGATAAATGGCATTTAAACTGCTTCCTGAAATACAGAGAATTAAGGTTGTAAGTGTAACCAAGGCTTTAGAAACCTGACAGATTAAAACAGTGTTGTAGCAAGGTATTACAATATTTTAAAACACTGCACGTTTAAGGTGCAACTGTAAAACGGAACCGAGGGCCTCAAATAGGAACAATTATATCAAAGTTCATACAATACACAAATGATATAAAAGTTCATAAAACCTGCTAGCCAAGAACAATTTGCTAAACCCTTCTTTAGCTGAAGAACAACTATTGTTCTAGTTTCCATGAAGAATGCTGTGCTCAGTCGTGTTCCTGAGCCTTCAGCTTAGAGCAGCCTGCAGTAACAAGGGTAGCACAAAGCTACCCTGAGCTAAGAAGTTTTTACCTAGAAGTGGGAATGGCAGTAAAGAGAGGCCCCAGAGCTGGCCGTGAGGCCACAGGAGGGGCACTTCTGGAGGACAGGACCGCTTGGGCTGGCACGGAGCTCACCTGTGGTGGAGCAGCTGTACTGGGGGTACTGGGTGAAGGCCACAGCCCTCTCCACGCCGTCCTTCTCCATCTCCTCAATCGCTTCTTCTGTCAGAGGGTGGACGTACCGGAAGCCAATGTAGTACTTGTGGGGTGCTGCCAGGCAGAGCACAGGGGAAAAATGGCAGGAACAACCCAAGAACTCTCAACACGTTGTTAGTAAGTACAAAGTACAGAACCAGACAGAAGGAAACTGTCAAAATAAACTTGCTGATAATTTCCTGGCTACTTTTCTAAAACACTGTCATATAAATAACTCTTTCTTTGCCCAAATATTTTCCTGCTAACTCACTTTGCTGCTATTGGAATTTAAAAATTATTTAGACCATTGTTTGCTCCTGCAGGACGCATCACTCTTCTGCTTTCACCCAGTGCAGCAGTGGCGTGGCTTCCACACTGCACAGAGTTCTGGCCTTTTACTGGGCGAGTTCTGATTTAAAGGATGTAGTGGTGAAGAAGTGTCACTACGAGGTGCTAAATGAACACTACTACACCCTAACATGGACCACAGCTACAGACGTGCTGCAGGCTTCCGAGCAGCACAGCTCAACACACCCACCAAAACCAGAAATTGGGTGTTTTAAATATGCCAATGTAAAAAAAAATGCCAAAACCATGGGAAGCCAAGGCTTTCTTCAGTCTGCAACACAAAAGCAAACACGTTGCTCAAGCAGTTTGCACATTCCAGGAATTTTTACATACCTAAACTTCCAAACATAACTGGGCTGCCATTTTGTGTACTGGCACTCAGATATTCTGCTCTACAGGGACCAGCCTCAAAGAGAAGGTCCTGCCTCTCACAGACACTGGCTGTCTGTAAGATATCTCAAGAAAATCAGATAATTTTACCCCTTTTATGCCCCAGGTACCAGCAGAGAAGCCACTAAACCAGGATGCCTCCAGCACACGAAGGATTCGCATGCCTCTGCTGGGTCGGGGCCTCCGTCCCAGGGCTGCAGGGCACGCTGGCAGAATTCCCAGGTGCCAACCACTCACTCCACGTGCCCTTCCACCCCTCTCTCAGCCTCAGCAAATCCCAGCTCCCTCGTGTTTCTCTCACCTACTCTTCCCTTCATCATTTTATGCAGATGTAATTTTATTGCACTTTCCAATTCCTTGTCTCCAATTACCACATTAGAAAACAAAGCTAAGGCAAAGACAAGGTGGAACCACCATTTGAGGCAACTGCTCTGGTCCATCCTCAGGAGAGCAGATGCCTCCCCCACCCTGGGAAGCCTGCTCCCTTCACACAGACCCCCAAGGAGGGGGCTGCTCTTTGGGGCAGGAGGTCAGTGGTACTCAGCAAGGGACACGTTCTCTCATTCTGGTTTCCGTGTGTTTTTCATAGGAACCCTCATGTCTTTAACACGTTGCTTTGGAGGCAATATTACTCTCTCCAAGGACAACATCTTAGATTTTTCCATTTTCTGTCTCTCATCTTTTGGGTGTTGGCTTCAAGACCTGGGGAGTACGGTTTGGTTTTGGGGAGGGAGGAAGGGAAGGCTCGCTGTTTTGTTTTGCTTTTTTAAGTAGAGGACAGGTTTTTAGGAGAACAAAAGCTGAGTTTCTTTTTCAGCGTTTCCAGGTCACTAGCTCTGAAATACCATTTAAGAGGTTTGTGAAGGAAGCAGATGTCCCATGCTTGGTCTCTGCTCCATACATTTATGCAGGATTCAGAAAACAGGTTTAGTCAGCCCAGGCTCTCTGCAGGAGGCAAGAGAGCTCCCAGCTGGGAGCAGCAGCAAATAATGACCCAACTTCAGCAGCCCTGGGACACAGTAACCTCATTAACATTTTTAAATGGCATTAAAAACAACAGGCTGACTAACCAGAGCTAAGACAGTAGGAGTTTAACCTGGGAAAGGCCATACTGGGGAAAAAACAGAGCCAACTTGGAAACCTCCTGCAATACTCTGGCAGTTTTAGGCTTTGTCCTGGATCACGGGCAGCAGAGGGGGCATTTTAATGTCTGTGCACATATTTGTTTTGTTGTCACAGTTAGAGTCACAACTACTGGAAGCAGAGTGACATCTCCGTCCACCAAGAGCTGCCAACCTACAGAAACAACGTGGCCCCCCACCCTGTGAGCTTTCACTCTGCTGACAAAGGAGGCTCAGCTAAAATACAGCTTGTAAGAAACACTAAGAACAACTAAAATTAAAAGCAATAAAAATCAAGGCATGCTTTCTTACAATAGAATTACCATTGCAAGATATTGGCCTACTTGATGCCAGCACTAAAAGAAACCCAAACCTGACAGCAGAAATGGATTTTCCTATCATCATGTTTGTGTGATTTATTCTTGCAGACTACTGAGCCCACGCAGCCCCACTCGCTCAGGAGGAAGAATTCTTGTTCATTTCCAGATTGCTGCTGGTAACAACAGAGCCTCATTTTAAAACTAAATTGTTGCCAGATGACGTGGGTGAGGCTGTTTATTTACTATTTTATGTTAGTCTCACTGCTGAAGAACAACATGCCAAATGCATAGTACAAGTCAGTACATCAGCAGATGGATTTAGGCAGGAGGGAACTTCACAGGCCGTCGTTAATCCTGGCTAACACAAGCTCTTATACACAGTTATCCAGCTGCAAACACACAGCAACTGGAAACTCTGCGCCCCAAAAGTCCACATCAAGGCAAAATAAATACACAAAGTATTTTTTCTTTGCCATGTGTTTGATGTCTTACCACCATAACCTGCGAGTTCCCCACTAACAGGGGCCAGTGCTCCCAAAGTGCTGCTGCCTGCGAGCACACGACACTCCGAAACACGCGGCTCAGTCTGGCAGCACATCCAACTGTTCAGCTGCTCTGAAACCACCCAGCACTCACTATCGCTGCAATGATTAGCACGTTCAGTTTTTAAACTGCAGCTACCTTAGGTAAAAAAGGAGGTCTCCAAATGACTTATCAGCTGTAAAGCTGCACAGAGGCAGGCAGGACTTCCTGGAAAGCTGTCACCAAACAAAGGCGAGGCGGAGCGGTACACTGAGGAAAGCTGATAAACTTTCTAAGCTTTATCTCCAGAACCTGTTGGCAGCCTGACCCTCCAGGGGCTATTGCTCCTGAAACAGCACTGCTCAGGACACTGCAGCCTTGTGCGGTTTCAGCTTCAGGCTTTGAGTGCAATCTCTAGCTTAATTCCAGCTGCAGGCCTTGCATCTGTGGAAAAAAGGACTGAGCATCACCCAGATGAAGGTCTCAGTGTCATGCTATTGAACAAATGAAATACATGTGGTTCTGGCCTTCCAAGAGTGTTACTTTTCTCCTTCCAGAAGCTTTTTCCAGTCTTCTTCCTCTAGCCCTTTTCTACCCAAGCCTGAAGCAGGTGCCACAAAGAGCTACAGGACAGCCAGGAATCAAATAATACGTACTGTCAAAGGTGGAGGGGGGTTCCCTGACACAGCAGCACCACATCAGCAAAGGTCACAGACACTGAAGGGAGAAGGCACCTTGCAACACCCTGCATTGTAAAGCTGCTGAGATGAAGAGGATGGAAAGCTCTCCTCTTTGGCTCCTCTAACTCCAGCAGTTTTTCTATTAAAAACATTTAGTGTTTCTGTTGAAGTAGCAGGATAAGAAAAATTATCTGTAGCTAATGCATCAGAGAGGAATTCAGCAGGCAGCTTAGTGATCTTGTTAGCTCCTTCTACTTGCAAGGAAAGAATTCTACTGTTGCTTCAAGAACAAAAAGCATAATGCAGAGAAATATCTTACTGGAACAGAGGTGACCCCCAGACAGGTCATTTCAGACAGACCACCCACCACATTACTGTTTCTTCTGGCTTGGGTCAAAGCAGTGGTGATTCACTGTCTTTTTCTGCCTGTCCCAAGAGAGGCAAGACCCAGGAGATGGCTCTTGCCCTCAAGCTGCTCCCTGAACGTGGAAGTGTCATTTCTAGTGCTGCCACTTGCATTTATTAACGCCATGGGTTTACTGTCATCTAGCAAGAACCTGCAGCATAAAAGGTACTGTGAGCAAACAACCTGCCACCTTCAGCAAGCAGCAGCAGAGAAACAGGCTTCTAGTTCATCACAGCTGCTGACTGAGCAGCAACACACGCTGAAGTCAAATTCAACTACAAACCAGTTGAAAGCAGTTTGTGGGAATTCCACCGTGAACGCACTTAACCTGGGTGAAAAATGACTCGTCTGTCAATTTGGTTGAAGATTTTAGGAGAGAGACTGAACGTGGCTGAGCCACAGCAAACAGCTGTTAGATGAAGGCCCACGGTCTGCCTTGGCACCCCCAGCCCAGGGCCACCACACGGTAAGATGTGCTAGCTGAAGCCCAAGGAAATGGACGTTCACTAAAGCGCCTGCACCCGTCTTCCATCACCCTAGTGCCACCAGGTAGATTGGCACAGGGCAATCCCTGCAAGCCACAGCTCCCTGCTGCAAGGGAGCAAGGTTCAGGGAGGTTATGTGATCCAGAGAGAGGGGAGGGAGACTACATCCACTTTTCAGGTTTTCTTATCATTGAGGAAGAGCTGGCAAAGAGGGCATCTACTTCCACCCAAGCCAAACTACTAGGCCTTATCTCCTGCTCTTGTCCTTGGGTGGGACTCACTACTATCACCCAACCAAGCCCTGCAGCATTCCTCTACAAAACCCTGTCTTCTCTTCCAACCGACCTCTTCAGCCCTGACATCAGGCCTAACTGGTGGGTGTTCTTTTATCCATTATTAATAGTTACAGATTCAGACAATGTTCCAAAAGCTCTGGATATATCCAAGCAATAATTGCAGAGCAACATTTCAGAGGAACAAAGGCACCTGTGGCTCTGAAGGACAGTCAGGCTCCTGACATCTCCTGTGCAGTGACCTACTCAGGCTCAGGCTGCTGTGACAGAGGCACATTCTGTCCCCAGACAGCTCTCCACCAGCCAGCCCCTGCACGGCGTCGCGGCCGCGCTGGCTCTGGACAGGGACTCTGGACAGGGAAGGGCCCTTGCAGGAAGCAGCAGGAGCAGGGAACGCTGCACTGTCCTCTAACTGCTGGCTGCTGCCAGTGCAGGCAGCCACGAGGAGCTGGCCATGAGCTTCAGAGCAGGAGATCCCACCCTCTGTGGAACTCAGCAGCAGCCCGTGCAGAGCAGGGAGGAGCAGGAAGCCCTGTGGTTCTCACTGTGTGCATAGGCAGCCTCAGAGGATCGTCGCTCTCCTGCTCTGCCTCTTCACAGAAGATAAGAGAACTACACAAGGTTACACTGCCAACGGTCACCGACCTCCTCCACATTTACACCAGTAAGAATGCTGCTCTGAACACCCTTCTCCCACGCCTGCCTCCCTGTGAAATACATTCCCCTCTCTATCACCTCAGGCTCAACCAGTTGTGTTCTCTGTGGACTTTTTCAAGCTCAAACAGGGCTTACAGGGCAAGGTATCACACCTTGCCATTGTACACACCAATGGAGACTCCTGTCACCTACCTTCAGACATCTGAAAATAAGATACTTTGGCTATCAGAGACACCTAGAACTCTTCCTGTAATCAAAGGGGAGAGAGGTGTACCCTTAGAGGGTGAGCCCCCTTCTTTGATAATGACCTTAGGATGAACAGAATTGCTTCCTCTCCAAGGCCTGCTTTCTGAAAGAGGAAGCAGAGGCCACCAGCTTAGGCCAGAGGGCCAACCTCCTGATGGCCAAAGTTATGCAAGATGAAACGTGCCAAAAGTGCGTGGACTCACCAGGGCAGCTTTTCAGCTAGTTACCCTGGGCACAGATAGAAGCAACAGCTGGACCACAGCACAGGCTGGATCCCCTGAGAAGGCAGGCAAATGTTTGGTCATTGGCTCTTGGTGCTACGCTGTGTTACAGCAGGTTGAATGAGTTCTGCCCATGCTCTCCAAAATCAAAGCCACTCTGCAAAGCAGACCACAGCACAAAAATATACTTGCATGTGTGGGAACCCTGTGTTTTTGCACACATGGGTTTTTTAACAAATAAGAACTTCTGCAATATCTGTGTCATGATTTCCTAGCAGGACTGAGAACAGTGTTCACACTCACAATAAAAATCAAGAGGCAAAAGCTGCTTTACAAGCACCTACTTTCAATATACATAGCAAAAGAGACTTTCAACAAGCACAGGGGAGCAGAGAAGTACCAGTGTGAGGAGACATGCTGTCCAGGAGTTTCACCATGCCTTCTCCCTGCACCGCCGTCCACTTCTTGATGGGTGATCCACCTCCAATCCTGCTGTACTGCTCCTGGATTTTCGGTGTGCGGCGTTTGGCGATGAACGGTGCTAATTTACTAGAGCGTTCAAAAGGTACATGTATTAATATCATAACCCAAATTCCCCAGCTTTCTCTATCACAGCAGGTTCTCCATGGCAATCTCCACAAATTACAGCAAACCAGCATTGCTTGGCCTGTTTAGTGCTACATTCTATCATCCTTCCCAAACTCACTAGGTGACAGGAAACCACAATTTGCAATTAGAAAAGAACAATCTTGGCATGCCTATTTCCAGAGAACTATAACACTGCTTCTTGCACTGACTGATCCCAGGATGAAACAGTCTTAAGAAATGCTGATCTAAACAGAAGTTAAAAGTCTGAACCTACAGCTAAGACAGCAACACCCATCACCAAGTGTAACACAGGGTTCACCGTGTTTCTCACTTTTGAGCTGGAAGCGTCATTAAATCTCTGTCCAGGAAGAGACGAAGTAAGAAATCGTGCACATCATCCAGTCGTTCTGGCCCTCCCATGTTCAACATCAAAATTCCCGTTTTAGGTTTCCTGTGGAAGCAAGAGAGATTTCAAATCCTAGTGACCTACTGCTTTGTTTTTATTATTACTATTGCCAAGCAATCAGCTTCCCCTTCTGCACTTGTCTTTTGCAAAAGCAGCATCCTACTCAGAAGCTCATCCTGCTTAAATAAAAAAACGAAGCATGAATAGCCAGAGAACAAGTATTTACATGACCTTTTAATCACTTTGCAACGCAGAGTTTAACTGGAAATATACTGAGAAAATGATCTCACAAGTGAAGGCAAAGGAGGTTATAAAACACCATCTAAAGAATCAGATGCAGATTTCAACCAGACCAAGCTGCAGCATCCACAGAAACCAGACGAGCTACCCACGTGGGACTTTGTCTTCCTCACTTCGGGGACACATCTCCCAAAGCAGCAAAGAGCCATTCTACACAGAACGTAAGCGCAGGGTTGGTTTTGTTTGGGGTGTTGGTTTGGGTTTTTTCCACAGAGGATTTTCTCTCCAGGTGCAGGCCCAGCACACTGTTCCAAGGATAACATCCCTAGTCCAGCAGAGCGCAGCAGTCGGCAGGCAGTATCAGCTTTTACAGAAACAGCTGCTGATCACAGGTCCCACCCAAGAAGAGGGTTTCCCCACCAAAATGTTTCCCCTGCCCAAGGACGCCCAGTGACCAGGATCTCTCGCCTCCTAAGTGGACAGAGCTGAGGCTGCGCGGGGAGCCTTGCCATTGTCTTGTGAAAGCCAAAGCCTTACAAAGGGGCACCAAGAGGAGCCCGGGCCTGCCCCAACAGGTCAGGACTGCAGCTTTCAGTCCCCTCCTCCTGAGGTGTCCATCAGGAGGTTGCTGAAGAAAACTCAGGAGCTAGAACCTCAAACAATAATAATATCCCACTGTTTGTTCTTCTATTGCTTCTGCCCTGCCTCAGGCCTCGCCGTGGGCCACGCTGCAGAGAATGAGGCAGGCCATCCTTGCCCCACAAAACTGTGAAAACAAGAGGCTCGGAGAATGCAGCCAGCCAGATAACACAACCACACACACACAGAGGCCAGATAAAGCCCCCCAGTGCCATTCCTGCACCGAACCAGCTTCGCCACGCCAGTGCAGTGCCATGCCATATCAGGGCGAGGCAGAGGCGGGCAGAGCAGGTCACACCCCGCCAGGCCTCGCTGCCAACTTACCGCGCCTCTGGCTGCGCTTGAGGCCTCGTGCTCTCCGCCACCGCAGGGGCAGCCGCCTGCCCCCGCCACCGCACCGGGACCTGCAGCTGGCTGCTCCTCTGTGCAACTGCAAGAGATAACAGCGCGTTGATAACCCCGCACCAGACTGAGGGGCCTCTTACCACATAGGCACTAGTCCCTCAACAGCTACACAAACACCTGGCAGCACTGCGCTGCTTGGCACATTCTCCCTTAAGCTCCAGGTTCTGGAATCAAAGAACGCCATTGCAAGCTTCTGGCTTTCTTTAACCACTCTGTATACTAACAGCTTTTCAGATACCAGGCAGCAACCTAAAACCAAACTAAACCTTGCTAATCTTTAAGCTCCCAGCATAAATCCAAAATAACGCGACAACAAAAGGGAAACTACACAGGGCTGACATGCTAAGTATGCCAAGCCATGTAACTCCTCGTGGTACAGACCTACCTGGGCTAACTCCAGAGTATGAAGTGTTTCTACACCAACCCTACAAGGCAGGTTAGATATTCTTTAACTCAGGGTCCCCAGCAAATTCAGGTCTGCCAGGTGAGCACTTGTGAGCCACAAGCACGCAATTCCCTAGTCTGAGCAGTCAGTGGGGTACACTGAGCAGCAATTTCAGAATCCATCTACCCAGGGACGTGGGCAGTTTTCTTTCTTGCTACCCAGCAAGGCGACTTCTATTAATCCTGGATTTCAGCATCAGCCACAAACCAGGATACTTTACTTCCCACATGCTGCTTACAGTCTGCTTTTCAAAAGCACGCTTTGTTTTCCTCAGGAGTTCATACTCATTACATGATATTTTTCAGTGTAACAATAGTATGAATTGCCCAAGATGAAAAAAATGGTTATATTCTGCATCCCCAGCTCTCCAGCAATTGTTCGGTGCGACGCTTCCCTCATCAGACTGCGGGAGCTCAGCAGCAATTGAGCCCCAATAGCACAGACCTCCTCAGCAACCGACCCACCCGCTGAGAAGAGCATCTTATGGTTCACAGTTCCCTAATAACATCCTGAACAGATGCTGAGCGCCCTCAAAACCTGCTGAAATCAATGACGGCGAAAAGCATCTTGCAAATCCAGCTTCTTACTCGGGATTAAGAGTGTGTCACTGTGGAGGCCTGTGTCTGTAGTGATATAAAAGGCTGCAAATTAAAGAACTTCAATTCAAGCATGGCTGATGCCTGAAAGACTCTTTTTAAATGTTATGTTCTTCCAGTTCTTAGGTTATTACTTTCATGAGCACTGGCACTACATGTAAATTACACAGAATGATAAAAAGAAGCTTCAATGGCTAAACTGATCCTTCTGCACTGCAAATAAACCCCAGAAAGCATGTGCTTTACTCAAGGTAAGAATTGGGCACATTCTATCTGCACTATAAAGCACATGATGCAGAACGTAGAGGACGTGTGATGATCCCAGCTTGGTGAAATGTGGGTAGAAGAGTTTTTTTTGTAAGTTTTAGAAAGAGCATTATCGTATTAGCCTCTGAAGCCAAGGCCTGACTGAACAGGTCCCCTGTGCACACCCGTCCTTGCACTGGTCTGGGTGTCAGCACACGAAGACATTCCACTGTCCCAGCAGTGACCAGGCAACACGCGCTTACGGAGGGTAAGGAGAAGAGCTCCAGTGGAGGGAGCACACAAAACTGACTGCATGTTGTAAAAACTGCAATACGCGCATGTATGTAGGTGGCACACATAATACGTAGGCAATGTATAGAACATGCTTTTTTAGTATTAGAACAGCTGTGAGCTGCGTTGCAGCTGTATTTATTACTCACAACTCTTCACCACACCTACGCCTAGCGTTAAAATATAACCTGTGAATTGTTAAACTGGGATGGTTTTTACACACTTTCTAAAAAGGGAAACGCCTAATTGAAAATTAAACTCATGAGAGGAAAAACAAACAAAAAAAGCCCCAACCAATGAAGAACCGAGCCTGACAGCAACTTCCCTCTGAAGAACAAACTCCCAAACGACAAACGTATCTCAGATTAAAAAACCCAAGCGTCGCAGCCCTCAGCTAATTAGAGGAAAACTCATCATTAGCCTGGCTGGCACCGTCCCCGCGCTCGGGTCCGCGCAGCGCCGTGACCCCAGCGCAGAGACGCGGCCCCGCGGCAGGGGCGG